TCTCAGAATCCTTCAAAGCCCTAGCAATATTGGTCTCAACTTGAAGCTCATGCCAAGCTCTCCATCTTCCCTTCATTCTCTCCATCAAAATCCCACCTTAAACTCTCTAAATCAAAGCTTTTCCTTAGGAGGCATAAATGGGTGCTTGTGTAGGAATATAGAGGAAGTTAGAGAAAGTGAAAGAAAGAGGAAAATGGTGCCCGAATGAGAAGGAGGAGAAGGTGAAAAGGTGGTCTTGCAACTTTAATTCCAAGGCCAATAATGTGTCACGTGTCACCTTGTAGTTAATTACCACTTTATGCTAAGTTACCTTTGTGCCTTTCCTCTTTCCACACAATACCATCTACATCCCATAAATATCTACCTCTAATAAATAGATACAAATATATGTATGTGCATGTGAAATGACTACAATGTCCCTCACTTAAAATGAGAAAACCGGAAGAAGTTCCCAAACCCGAAAATCGTTCCGACCTCGAAATTTTTTTAGAATGATACCTCTATTTCTAAATGACTTAAAATGATTAAAAATACATTACCAGAACCCTCGGCTCAAGGAAATGACTAAAATGCCCTTCGGTGCCCGCATGACACGCAAAACGAGGTACTAAAATTAAATAAATTCAGAAAATTTTCAAAAGCTCACAAAAATGGAAAAACGAAAAAAAAAAAAAAGCAACTTCACATACCAATCGCAGAATGAAGATGTAATTCAAACCCATTAGTTAATTAAAGCCCGTATATTTGTACTTCTATACTTATGCATATATATATATATATATATATATATGTATATATATATAGGAATGCGTTCAAGGGAACTTAAAAGAAGAGGGCAGGGTGTTTACATAATATTATTTGAATAAGAAAGGTCAAATTTGTCTTGACAACAACTAAAAGGGCAATTTAGGTACAATTAAGCAATTGGAAAGGTTGATCACGTTAACCAATAACTGCAATGAACAGATGGGTGTTCTGTGTTATCAAAATACAAATCTCAACGAAGGTCAATGTAATTTACCCAATAAAATATCATTAAAGTTTAAGTGTGGGATAAAGACTTCATCCTGTGACAACACGTTTTGCATGCCATCAATCAATTATATATTGACAAGGTTTAACACAACATGAGTTAAACGGATTAGGTGCGATAAAATTTGACATGACTCGAACACGACATAAATTAAATGAATTTGGGTTAATTTTAAATGGGTTCGAATTATAAACGGGTCGACACGTTTAACTCGTTTAATTAATTGTGTCGTATTTGAATTGAAATGATTCAACTCATGAAACCTGTTTATATCCCTTTAATTATACGTGCTATAAATAAATTTATATTTAAATTCTAAAATAACTATCTAAACTTGTGTCTTGTAATTTATTCTTTTATATACTAGAAACTATTTAGTAATTTAGTTGGATTAAAACTTATATTTTTTTTAGTATTTATTGTTTGATTAACTATTATTAATAATTTAAATAATACTGTATAATTTTTTGTTTTAGTAAATAGGTCATTAAACGAGTTATACGCGTAACTCGTTTAATAAACAGATTGAGCTAGTATTAAATGTTAGTGACATAAATATTAAACGGATCGTGTTCATGTTGATCTTTTTAATAAAATATATTTTAAGTTGACACGATTATAACCTGCTAATAAAAATCGTACTGTTCTTCTATTGTATTCAGTTGAGTGGTTGAATTTTCTATAGTATCGCTCAGGTGCTAAATCTGACCGTCAAACTTAAACTCAACAAAAACAAAAATCTCTCAAGTATTTAGACACTGTTTTAAATAATCAAATGATAGATTTGGATGTTAACTCTGTTCGATTCAAGCACCAAGTCCTTTACGGTTTAATACAGTAACCTCATCTGAGATTTGCTCCAACTCCATATACTTTTTTGAGACTTTGGGCACAGCTTTCACATTAACAATACAATGGGGAAGAGGTTGGGTCAATGATTAGTCTTGCGTTCAGACTCTGTGCACTACTTTCACACTAACATGGGGCCATCTTCTATTAATGGTATGCGGCTGACTGTCTGTGATGTATTGCTCTCTGTGTGTGTGTATATATATATATATATCTTGTGTGTGTTTATTATATAGAACATGCACACATATTATTAAGCCATATCCTCCTGTGCAATTTTTTATTATTTTATTATTCTTTCTTTATACTAGAACGGTAAATAAAATTTTATTTTATTATTTTTCAATTATAGTATAATAGTAAATAAATTTTTTTAAAAATATTTTATTATATTCGAATATTAAAATTAATAAAATATTTTATTAATTTTCAATTATACTATAATAGTAAACAAAATGTAAAAAGTTATTTCATTATACTCAAATAGTAAAGTTAAAAATGTTATTTTCTTTTTTTTTTTAATTAATTTTCAATTATACTCAAATAGTAAATAAAATATTATTTTCAATTATACTCAAATTGTAAATTAAATTAAAAAATATATTTAATTATACTTAAATAATAAAATTAAAATGTTATTTTATTATTTTACTTTTATACTATAATAGCAAATAAAAGAGTCAACTTTTCTAAGAAAATAAAAAATTACCAAATATATTTTCTCGTTTCTTTTTTAAAAAATTCAACAACAGATGTACGTTACCAAACGGTTTTGTTTTTTTATAAAAATGACCATACATCTTTTCAAAACTTGTCATTTTTACAAAAATGAAAGTGCAATAAAAAAAAAAAACTGCAGTTTTACCAAATAGGCCCTTAATCCTATTGGAATTTACATAAATTGACCAAGGAACGAAATTTACAGGACCAAGGTACCAACCTTCGATCTTATTTACCATAAGAATACAAAAATACAAAGAGCACAATTTTGTACCGAGGGTCAAGCACTCACTGCATGAAGAATGCATACTCTGACCTGAACATAGCCCCTAGCATTACAAAACCGCCAACAAATAGCCGTGCACGTTTCTACATACACAACAGTATTGGTTGACAAGCTAAACCAAATAGCCATCAGAATCAATCATCAGCCTACAACACACAACGGCAATGGCAGTTGCCTACCTTAATTGTCCCCTTTGTATAGGAACAAGATACACAAATACAATTGAGTTTCCTTCTAGCTTTATCTATCTCAATTATGTAACAACTCTCACTCTGTTAAGATAGAATTCAGATATAAAATTGTTAGTTTTTAATTCTCTCAAATCAGAGACTTTTCAAAAATTGCATATCTCGATACTACTCCAAATTAAGTATGTTTAATTATACAATTTTGATGAGTTTAAGGCTCTATATACCCTAACAATTTGTGAATTATATTAGTGTCCGGTTTGGTTGGGTTGGAGTAGGTACTAGGCCGAGCTATATAAATTCACAATGCATTCACCATGTAATGAAATTGGTCCAACCATCTAATAAAAATTGCTTTTCACAAACGAATTTGTTAAATTTACAATTGACCAGAACACCGTCGGGTTGAGAGGGTTTGGGTCTTTTTTTTCCAGCCGCTAATGTCGCCGCCGCCACCACCACCACCACTATCCTCTCTCTCATGGCAAGCCCTGCTCTCGTCTCAACCACACCACCCACCATATATGCATACTCCCCCTTCCCCCTACAATTTGGAATTTTGGGATTTTCAGGGAGTACGTGGCAGAGGTGCAATTTGGGCGGGTTAACCCAGCCCAACCCGAATCCAGCTCAAAAATTTTAGAATTTGGACTTTTAAATTCACAAATTGGGCTCAAATCAAGTTGGGTTTTATTAAAACCCAAACTTGTTTGACTTGGGCTGGGTTCAATCCGAACCCAACCCAAAACCCCAAATTAAATAATTCTATAGTCCAACCCTAACTTGCCCATGCTTCTCATATGGAAGTCTGAAGGCCTGTTTGGTTTTAAATTTTCAAATCAAATCTTAATAACACAATATGTATATTATATACTGTAATATTGTAATTAGAATGACTTTTGCTTAATTGAGTTTTCAAAATTTGTAAACCAAACAATTTTTTTGTAATTTTTTTTTTTTAATTTTTAGTTGAATTAAATTAATTTATCGAGCCCTCAAACATTGCTGTTGTTTTGTGGAAGTCTTTTTCCAATTATTCCAGTTATTTTTAGGAAAAATAAGTAAAAAAAAGGAAATAAATTCTTGTTAATTGACTGGAAAAATAAAAAGACAAATCAGAAAATCTAGTTATTAATAAAAAATAAATAGATAAACGTTCATTTCCTTTAACTTTGGATTCTAGCTAAATATGGTACAGCAAAAAAAGCTGCGTGATAATATAATTAATTTTTTTTATATATGTATAAAACAAAGCGCGTTTAAAAATTCAGCAAAAAAAATACAAGTCACAAAAACACGCATATATATGTATATGGATATAATACGAATGTTAATGAAAATTCGTGGTATAAAATACGATAGCAGTTATATACTAGTATAATTTATTTAATATATTACAATAATTATTAGTTTTAAACTATTTTTTTTATTTATTTTAATGATATTCCAATATCAAATGAAATTAAAAGAGTTTCAAAAATAATATAAAAAATTTATAAAGTTGCATATTATTGTATAAATATTTTTTTTAATGACCCAAAAGAAACAATTATGGTCTTCTTTCAATTGTAATAGACAGAAAAATGGTATGTTTATGGACACTATACAGTTTTTTAAAAATTTTGATGTTTACAACGATAGACTAAAGGAAAATGTTTTTTTGCATATTTGTAAAAAAAAAATAAATGATCCGTGAAACCCTCCGGACCCATTTAGATATTTGGGTTCGGGTTCGAGTTCTGGATATAGTCCATTTTTTGACCAACTCCGGGCTGATCCAACCCAACTCGATTTCGGGTACCTGGCTGAATTGGTTCTGTCCTACTAGCAGCCATTGCGAGTAGCTTGGGATTATCTATCTGCCTGCGTGGAATTTCGAATTTTAGATGCCTATATATATATATGGGTGTTTGTACGTGGACATTGTGAGTTTTCGAATTCTGGATTTCAGAATCAAAATCCAGAAGCACAAGCACAATTGGATCTTTAACACGCCTGCTGATGCTGATGCTGTGGGCTTCACGATTACCATCAGATAATTAAGCATCCAATGAATCTCGGAATGGTGAAATCCAATTTCGCAAAGAATTTGTACGCCTCGCCATCTGATTTTGCTGCGGATGTGAGATTGACCTTTAACAATGCCATCTCTTGGCTCGATTTGAGGACTTGTTTCGACCCATAAACAAGAAGTTTGATGATGGTGATCATAAAGAACAGATTGTTCCTGCTGATGAATTACAGGGGAGTTCATGGAATCACACTCCAACTCCAGAAAGAGCAAAGAAGCCTAAAGGTAAACCCAGTGCCTCAAATTTCGAAGTAACATGAGCGAATGCAGAACCCTTCTACAGTAACATTCTTTGAATTTCCTCCAACACAATTCAGGCCAGCCAAAAATGTGTTTCCAAATAACCCAGTTTTCACATCTATGTATTCAAACTTTTAAAAATTAGAAGTAATTCAGATCTGTAATTATGTCAAGGAAATAAAATTTTTGAAAAATCTGAGGCATTTTTTTTTTGGTTTGTTCTTCATGTAAAATTTACTGTATTTGATGAAAAATATGTTGATCTTTGTGGTTAACAGCATAGGTGCACAGAAAGTCGAAAATGCCTGCATTGCCTTTCGCAACTTCTGTGAGGAACAGAACATCATTGATTATGGGTTTGGGGCGCTGTGGCGGTGGTTGGGTGTGGTGCGCCATGGTGGTGGTTGCTGGCTGTAGCGGTGGAGAAGATTATAAAAGAGAGGGAAGGAATACGTAGGTAAAATTAATAATTTAATCATCCATGGCTTGCATCATGCTAAAGTAGTGTTACATATGCTGTAGTGTTTACTATTATCGGTTAGCGTTTTGATTATGATTATATTGATCTTTACGATTATATTGATCTTTACCACTTAGATCTGGAGATGGACGAGGACAATCAGTACAGGGGGTCCTTCAAACCTGTTGGCAAAATAGGGAAGAATTTAATAAAGAAATTTAAGATGGGTAAAGGGAAGCGTCGTCGTGGCAAGGGCAAGATCAGGAGGAAGCACATTTAACTGTGTATAACTGGTAATGGTAATGAATTTTCCTTTGCACAACTGGCAATGGTATCGCTGCCTTCAATGTTGCATTGTCTGCAATGTTCTACATTGTGAGAGCAGCGGTTTTATTGATTATGATATTAGCATTTTTTTCTTTTAAAATTTCCTTGTTCTTTAAATATTTGAGATGTTACTACTGAAACAAGAGTTGTCACTACCACCAAATGCTAATTAATAGACTAGTAGAAACTTGTTTATTTGAATTTTCTGATCCCAGCTTATTGATTGCTAGTCATTGTTCAATTGGACGAGTCACTCATTAATCCAATTCCTATGTGAACCTGAACTCAAAGCATTGACACTTGACAGTGCAATGAATTATAATGTGGGCATGTGGCTACATCCATTTCTTAGGTAAATAGTGAAGCACCCTTAGCTTTACCTAGACATTATTGAAGGAGCTGAAGCTGCATTAGAAGTGGTGGTGAAAGTTCTTAGTGTTGCAATGGTGATGATGATGAGGGAATAATTGGATTCAGTTTTATGGAGAAAACAATTACGTAGTATTGGTGGTTTGCTAAAATGTGGAGAAAAGCCTCAAGGAGTATGAATTATGGTATTGGTAGGTAGAAAATTGAGCTGGTGCTGGGAGGTTTTTGCTTTATATGTAGTTCAAAGACATTCAGCCTGCAGCATTGACTTCCTTCCCCATATCATTTTTCTAATGATATATCAATCATCGATCAATGGAAAAGGAAAAGGAAAATGAAAATGCAGAGTTGGAGCGATGGTCAGTAATACCCTAACAACTGAACTATTTCGTAATTGGGTACATTATAGCAAATGATTTGAGAGGTTAATTTGGAAATGTTCTCAGTTGGCTTAGTGTCATCAAGGCCATATGGAGTTTCAAGCCATTAAGCAGTTTTGTGGCGGATTCATTTGAAACTGAAAGGAAGGATTTATGTTCTACTGAGATGAAAATCGAGGGCTTGGTTTTAAGAAGATAATCCAATGAATTTTCCTTTCCACAACTGCCAACGGTATCGCTGCTTTCAATGTGCCATTATCTGCAATGTTCTACACGGTGAGAGCAGCGGTTTTTTTATTTATTATGATAATAGCATCTTTCTTTTAAAATTTTATTTTTCTTTAAATATTTGAGATATTGAGTACTGGAACTAGGGTTGTCATTGACACTACACGCTAATTAGTAGACTTTATTGTAGAAACTTGTTTATTTAAATGGAATCTGTTTTTCTATATTCATGAACTTTTTTCATAGTTGGGTACATTATGGCAAATGAATTGATAGGTTAAGCTGGAAATGCTCTCAGTTGGCTTCTTGTCATCGCCATTAAGCAGTTTTGTGGTGGATTGATTCAAAGCTGAAAGGAAGGATTAATGTTTTCCTCAAATGAAAATCAAGGACTTTGTTTTAGAAGATAATCCAATGTCCCTTTAAGTCTTCTGCCTTTGTGTGAGATTTAGGAAATGAGCTACTGTAATAGCACCTTCCCGTGAGTTAAAAATGAGAGATAAAAAGAAACCATCTTCTGATTATCAATGTCGCATACTAGGTAGTTGACAATTTCTCAATTGATGCTAATACTGGATATTAGGAAGAGTTCATTTGGTGTTTAAAGATTCGAAGGTTCTCCAGTTCTTAAAGCCCCCAAATGAGCGTATCCCAACTAGTTTTTAGAACTCAATTCAACTTAAGCTGTAGGATAACTCATGTTTTTAATACCATGAAAAGAAAGGACGAAAAAGGAACATAGTATATAATGCATGTCAGAGTACAGAACAAGAACATAATATATGAACACTGCTAAAGTGTCCATGAACCACATAGCTACAACATTACGAATCCACACACACAGTTTCTTTCCGGACTTATTTCTTTCGAAGAGAACCACATCTGATACAGATATATTAGCTATCATATCCTTACAAATCGAAAATATGCTTTTCTCCATGATTCTTTCATCAGCAAAGTGCAGCAAACACCACAAAGCCCAACAACGAATCCCAATCCCATGCTAACATAGAACCATAACATTTCGGAATCCTTTTCACTATGAATGCCTTCTGAACTTCCACGGGGAGCAGGTACAGTAGATTTATCATCATCACCTGGACATTTGGTTGGAAGAGGAAGGCCACAGAGCAAAGGGTTACCTTCATAAATAGATAAATCATCGAGCGTTTGGAGCTGATTTCCTGATGGAATTCTCCCTGTCAAGTTGTTGTGAGATAGGTTTAAGTGAGCCAAAAAGGTCAAAGACGACAAGCTTTGTGGAATCGGTCCTAAAAGATTGTTGTTTGAAACGTCCAAGGTCTCCAACCATCGCAAGTTTCCAATATTATTTGGGATGTGTCCGTCGAGATGATTCATTGAAAGATTTAAGGTGCCCAATGCATTGAGGCTTGTTATCTCTTCGGGTATTTCACCCACTAGGCTATTTCCTGAAAGATCAATGCTATTGACATAAAGCAGAGTTTTGCCATATTGAAGTTCGCTTCCTTTTGACACAACAGTTGTTTCTTCCACATAGTAGCCCCTGCCGGTGGCTAAGGTGTACATTTCCCATTTGCTGCTATTACCATCAACCAAAGAAGTCAGATTGCCCAAACAGTTTGGAATAACGCTTGAAAGATTGTTGTGCGCAAGATCTAGGATGTGAAGAATTGGAAGATTACACCATTTTAGAGGGATGTTTCCGCTGAAGGAGTTAGACCGCAAGCGTATCTTCCAAAAGTCTGTTGCATTCTCTCCTATCCACAAGGGTAGGTTTCCTGATAATCTATTGTCTCCAAGATCAATGCTATTTAATCCTGAGCAATTCCCCAAGGAAGGAGGAATTTCTCCTTCTAGACTATTATTACTCAACAATAATCTACGGAGAGAATATAGTAAACCCATTGAGCTTGGAATCTTACCAGATAAATTGTTGTTGGCCACGTCCACGACCCACAAGGGTTGAGATTCATTCCAACACTGAGGGAGCTCCCCGGATAATTGATTGGACCTAAGGGAAAGTACTTGTAAGCCCTTCATTGTACATATCGATGATGGGATCGTGCCATTGAGATGGTTCTCCCACAGATACAGATCTTCCAATTGAGGCATTAATTCATCAATATTTTTTGGAATTGGCCCGGAAAATGAATTGCCCTGAAAATAAAATCCAGATGCATTAGTGGACCAAAGTGGGAGAGGTCCCTCAAAACGATTGTAACTCAAGTTGATAACACTTATTTTTGGAAATTCTAAATGGTGCGGCAGCATCCCCTTGATTCCATTGTTGGAGAGGTCCAAGTAGGTAAGTTGAGAAGATATCGTGGAGAACCATTCATCGGGTATGATGTCTTCAATCCCAACATTTTCTAGGATCACTAAGGTGAATTCACTTTGAACTTGAAGCCACATCGGAAATCTAGGACCTACTAGGCAGTTTCTTAGTTCAAGTGACTCGAGTCTGAAAGGGGGTATCCATTCATATGTCACATTGAAAATCAAGGACTTGATTGTGCTGCTTGTTCCTAGCATGACGTGTTCTAGTCTTGTGAGATTCATCAACTGGACTTCTGATATGACACCTTCCCATGAATTTTCTTGGAGATAAAGATCGACAAGCTTTGAGAGTTGTCCAAAACTTTCAGGAATGGTTCCATTCATGCTATTATAAGAGAGGTCCATTACTTGCAAGGATGACAAATTTCCAATGGATGCTGGGATCGAACCCCAAAAAGAGTTCTGACTGAGTGAAAGTTCTTGCAGATTCACCAATGTTCCTAATGAATCAGGCAATTCCCCTTCAAGTCGGGAACCATCTAAATCGAGCTTGATGACATGCCCTGACACGTTGTTGCATTCGATGCCTCCCCATTGGCAGCAATCTTCACCTGCCCAAGAAGAAAGACCATCTGAAGGATCAGTGAGACTTTGTTTGAAGGCGAGAAGTGCTTTTCTCTCTTTGTCAATGCACGTGATGTTGGAAACTTCAGTGGCCAGGCCGAGTTTCACAAATTCCACATATGGAGACCCTAAAAAGCACACTAATATGAAGAAAGCGATGAGATTTGAACATCTAAAGCTGAAGGATATAGTGCTATGCATACTGCTCATTCTAAGCATTTAATGATCTGTTTGCCTTGAAAGCCTAATTTGCAAAAAAGAGTATATATGTAACTATGAATAATTTGCTTTGAAAAAATCCAGTAGAATATTTAAATAGATGGGAGTGAGGAATGGGTTGGGTCAATGATCAGTCTTGCTTTGAGACTTTGGGCAGTGCTTTCACAATTAACGATGGGGCAATCTTTTAATAATGGTATGTGGCTGTGACATTCAAGTTTGACACGTTATTGCTCCCTCTCTCTGTATATATATATCTTGTGTGTGTTTTATAGTATTATATATATATATATATATATAATGTACACATATTTTATTAACCCATATCCTACTGAGCATTTTTTTCAAATATGCCAACTACCTTGTGGAAAAAAATCCTCCTGTGCATTTTTTCAAATATGCCAACTACCTTGTGGAAAGAAATTAAAGGTCATGTTCATCAATTTCATGTTTTTTTTTTTGCTTTCTATCAATTTCATGTTTTTTGCTTTTTTTATTTTTACTTTTTATTTTTTGATTGGATAAGTATTAAGGCTCTATTTGTTTCGATGTAAAATATTCTTTTTGAAAAATATTTTTCTTTTTTAAGTAAAATATTTTTTTATTTTTCTTTTGCATTTGGCAAAGGTCTACGTCGAGGTTGAGGTCGAGTCCATCAGGCGGAGCATGTAAAATAACTTGTCAAAAATTCATAGATAAATTATTTACGACTACCTTTGGGAAAGGTGAAGCGAGGTCATGTACACATATACCCAATTACTTTCTCATTTGGATCCGATATAAGACAAATGACATTTATTACATTCTCCTCCACCGAAACTCGCAACGCCTTTGTTGTGGTTTGGGCCACCCTGCCTACCCAGACTGACTCACGTGAATTTTTTTCAAGCCGAGCGCTTGGCGTGATATCGAATCAAGAACTGAACAGGTGGGTGCTTGCTTATTTATTTAAAAGTTTAAACTGTTAGGTAAGGATGCATATTCATCCATTTATATTCAATTACTTTTCTATCCAAATTCGATACGATACAAATTACCTTTATTACATTGTGATAGATGTTGACCCAGTTGTTATGGCATTGACGAAATGTTCCTTTACGGTTTAATACACTAACCTCATCTCAGATTTCCTCCAATTTCCTCCAACTCCATACGGACGAACTTTTCAAAAGATCTTGTGAGGTGTTTTCTGAATTTAATTTTGTCCAAGTCGCTAAGTTGGGGATATGCATTGACCCGTTGTCATTGACAAAACGTTTCGTCTTTCCCTTCTAGATGTGGAAATATAATGGGTATGACAGGGATATAGTTGTGGAAATATACTTTTTTTTTGAGACTTTGGGCACTGCTTTCACATTAACAATACAATGGGGAAGACGTTGGGTCAATGATCAGTCTTGCTTTGAGAATTTGTGCACTACTTTCACACTAACATGGGGCCATCTTCTATTAATGGTACGTGGCTGTGATGTATTGCTCCCTCTGTGTGTGTGTGTGTATATGTGTGTGTGTATATATCTTGCGTGTGTTTATATATATAACATACACACGTATTATTAAAGCCATATCCTCCTGTGGAATTTTTTTTATAATATGCCAACTAGCTTCTGGAAAGAAATTATAGGTCATGCTCATCTAAGAATTGTGGTTTTTAATTGGGTAAATACTCGCACACATACACAAATGTCCCACACTTAAGGCTCCAATTCCTCGACCACCTTTGCGAGAGAGAGGTGAGGTTATACTAACTAAGCTAATGGTGTAAATTGGTCGAACCGATCGGTTTATGGAGGTGTGTAACAGTATTGGACTCTTGAAAAATAATTACGAATTGATTCATACGGTGACTTATAACACGTATTATGGTTTTATTTGTGACGAAAAGCGACCTCGAAAGTTTAGGTCAAAGAAGTAATGGAAAAAAATTGTGACCTCTAAAACGAAGATTTTAGCAGAAATTAAATTCGTGTTATTAAATTATGTATAAATTTAAATTCTATAAAGATGAAGATTTAAGAGAAACTAGGGATTTATTTATTTATTTATTTTAAGAGAATGGCGGTTTAATCGAAGCAAAAATTGAATTCATCTATGTTGGAATTTGAATTCTGTAATGATATTACATTTCCTATTCAATAATAATGACCTTTTCTATTTTTCGTGTCTATCATATTTTGTATTCTCTCAAGGGAATCGCTGTCACAATAGGCATAGCAATGTCATAGCCACCTAATTCAAGTTATTATTTGGAGCATTCCAAAAACTTGGAGATCCAACTACACAAAGACAAGTAGTCTGATACAACATTTCTCTGGCAGTTTTTGCTTCTATTTTATTTTTGTGCCTTTCTTTATCTGGTAGATGATGCCAAATATAATAAAAAGAAACAAGCATGAAAGCTATAATTAATTGTAAACAACGATCAAATCTATGGAAGCATTGATTTATACCTTCCTCTTAGTCTCAACTCTAGAGATAATTTTTTTGACTATCTTTTTTAGAGATCCGCCTAAAGTTCCAACAAAAAAGATGAAATGATTTATTTATTTATGAATATAATAATATTCACCATGTAAGTTCCGTTTGTTTAAATGTAAAATATTTTTTAAAAAATATATATTTTTATTTTTTTGGTGTTTGGTTGTCATAAAATATTTACGAAGAAAAAAAATATTAAAATTTAAATAAACTAACTTATTCATTAATTTTCGGTTAGTTATTTTATGTAACGACTCTAAACTGATACCCTTTTTAAAATAAAAAAAATTTGGCATGACCTCCCCTAAAAAGGGGACTACAACCACCTGCTCAAATAAATAAAAACGCAATGGCCCTTCCTGACCTTTCAAAACACCTCCAACCTGTTCCAACACATAATACAATTAATATACTCCAACATCCCATCCATCCGTTCATTATACCTCAACATGGCTCATCTCATGGTGGAACATTTACATACCGTTTAATCCAAATTATCATAATTACAGTTTCAAAATATAGTTACAATAACAAGAGTTCACAAATCTCTATACCAAATATAACAAACTAAGATTTTACAAAAATATGGGACTTAATACAAAAATAGCAAAAAGAAGTCTTCTAATCCAAATTAGGCATGTGGTGGAAAGTCATCCATCACTTCTTCCCCGTTTCCTGAAAAAAAATTATTAAATAATAGGGTGAGCATAAAGCTCGGTAGGTAGCACTAAGACACCCATCTTGTGTCCTTGTGAATCCATACAAAGAATAGATCAATAGGAATGGGGATCACACAATGTCGGGATAATACAACATGCTAACCAAATTCAAATACAATCAATGCAATGCCATGGAATGCAATGCATGCTGATGTCATTTCCCATTTTCAACATTCGAAACTATCACTTTCAAACTGTTAATATAACCTGCCCTTTGGTGACCCTGCAGCGACACGAGAGAAGGATTGGCTAGTGTCCCTGACCCTTGGTATCCCCGCGGTGTCATTATAGGGCCCAGCTAGCTCAACCACGCTAGGGCGACTCCCTAGTTCCCTTTAGGCTATATTAACACTCTGGCCCTTTGGTACCCCCGCGGCGACCGGGTTGTCATAAAACTATTTCATAAAAACTCTTTCCTAAAATTCCACTTTTTATTTTAAAGGAAAAATTCTCCCACTTCATGCCCAATGCAAGTGCACGGATGCATCAATACCATGTACATGTCCATTATTCCATAACCAATTCAACTTTAGTAATTGAAGCATAGTTTCACAAGGATTTCTAAAGAAATTACAACATACTTTTATACAATATAATTTTAGCAAGACGAATATATATAAATCATCCCATAAACATGCTCTTTACATAACTCATTTACCACACATAGTTACAGAATTAATGTATACACATAACAACCAACAATTTACTAAAGTTCTAAACAAATTGATCACGCTAAACAACAATTTAAGAGGGATTAATTCACTAAAGCACAAGACTTCATGGATTAAGAACCCCTACCTTGATTTTGAACAAAACTCTTAAAATGGGTTCAAATTTTTGAAGTCCCTAGGGAGGCCCAAAGCTGGAATTTCTGGTACACATGCGTAGAGCTCTTCGTGCTTTTCGTTTTGCCTCAAACGGCACTCACAAACTCCAAGGATTGAAGATGGAATCAAGCTTCAAAGATTTGAAGTAAAATGAAAAAGAAAAAGCAAGAACAAGAATGAGAGAGAGGAACTTACGGGAGAGAGAAATGAGAAGGCAGAATTGTGGTCTCTAGACCATTTTTGATTTAGTGGTGAGCCCCATGAATTTTATTTCTTTTCTCATTATCTTTTACTTGAAATTTTACACCATATAAAATGCATTACCATTTGAATGTCACACCATCATACAAATTAAAATGCACCAAATGCAATTGGACCCAACCACAATCCCACACGAAAAACGTGAAAAGACAGAAATACCCTTACTTCGACGAAATTCTGAAAAAATGGAAAGTGTCGAAAATCAGAAACGTCACAATCTACCCTCCTTAAAGAGATTTCTACCTCGAAATTTATCCTCCTTAAAAGAAGGAGGCTCACAACCACAGTCTTTCCAAGAACACCTCACAAAATCCCGAGACTAAAAACTCAACAACCATATTGCCTTTGACACCAGCGTCAACAGGCAATCACATACTACTGCCAGAAAACTCAATGATCACCACCCCATGAGGGAACTCATCACTCACAACATCAAGCACAAAACCTATTGAATCCTATACTCGACTTAAGACCAACACTGGTCTCTTCTACACTGCTACATAATACCTCGGAGCTCGAAGAAGAATGGTCACAAGACCCCAGAACATGACAGCATCCTATCACACTCATCCTTCTAAAGGGCAACCCAGACCCCAAATAAGGAACCTCATCCAACACATAATCAGACTCAAACCCAATCTACACGTCACCGTCCAACCAATACTCGTCATTAGACATACGGCTATACTCCTACAAAATCATACAATGACCACCAACCACACTAACCGATAATTATAATACTGGTCAACCTTAAGATAACAAAATGATGAATCCCCCAACAATTATTTAATCATGAGTCACCAAAACAATAAAATGTACTAACCTGTGTTCTGAACACAAATCCTCAAAACAAGATTCTCTATAATCAATGATTGTACTACTAACTTGTTATCAAACACCCAATACCA